GATACACGGACGTACAGGTAGGTAGGTCTCATTCCATCTACTCCTTCTACCCAGTGCTCCAGCTGCAATCACTCATCTGCCAGGAAGATGTCCAACAAGGATATGGCACGTCTTCAACGCACCGTCATGGAAGGAGTTCGAAGTGTACGTTACTTCAATAAGCATTCCCTGCCCGCTCTATAGACGAGGTCTGAAGGTAACCAGAAATACCCATTGATACATCTGCTACAGTTGTCTACATGCCCTCTGTATCCGATTTCCAGCCCTCTGATAAAGCTGAAGTGGGGTGCGCTTAGTTTCCACGACCCTTGAAGCTAGATCACACCGAAGCCGTCGCCCGCGGTGGTCAGCTCGCGATTCTTGACGGATGTCGCAGTTGTCAGTGGGCCATACGATTTGCACATGATCCGCGCCAGTCAGTCGAAGAGAAGATAATACGGACTAGTTCATCATTCGCTCCACTGACACTTATAGATAGTGGTACAGCTATGTCATCTTGAGATCGAAATCGGCTGTGCCACGCGCAAAGTAGGCGGAGCGACCTAGTCACGACGTACGCGCGGAACGGACGTTCCCCGTTCCATGATCCTTCTGTAAGTAAGTGAAGGTGCCTAAATTTTTCCTTACTGACGTAAACATCTCTCATTGCCGTGAATCTGGAGAAATTTGCGGTCGAACAAGTTTTCCTATCAGTTATCAGTATAGAAGTAAACAAGATTATTCATTAAAGGTTGAGGGCATGAGGCATGAGGTTGATGGGCGAGGTGTAATAGCAAGGATAATGGTGTCTTTTACCTTCTTCATATCTTACTGAACTCTATCAGTATCAAAACCTGAGGGACTTCATTCAAGTTAGAGATATCCGACGCTGAAAAAGGTAGTCAAAAAAGTTGACATTCGCTACCTACTGCTAACAAGGTGGACACTGAAGCTCGTCAGTCGGGTGCAAATGGCTTGAGCTACCCAATCTGTTAGTCATTATTCATCCTATCGAGTTTTGTTGCTGTGGAAATCTACCGACCTTGATAAAATAATAGGGTTGTCCTTGTCTGGTCAGTTTATGAAATTAGTGCTTCCTTGTCAGCACAAAGGATATGCTNAATGGGAGTCCCTTCCATACTGCAAGAGGCACGCGTGACAGGGTTAGCGAATGGAAAGAATAAAAGTACCCCGATGAAGGTACCTTTTTTTACAGAAATGAGAGCTTCCTCTGGCCCATTAGTTGTTCGAGCTGGGGGCTGATCGAGCTCACTACTACAAGAGTTTGAGAAACGGCTACGATGTACTGCAACCAACGGCGCGACTCATCTGGATGAGCTCCCAGAAATACTAAAATCGCCATTTTTGGAAATGGAGAGAGTGGAAATGTCATTGAACGAGTCTCTCTATAGCAGATCGCAGAAATGAATGGGGCCGCTTTTTAGTATAGAAAGTTGGAATCAGAGTACATTGCTTGCGTAGCCGTACTTTTTCATAGACCAGTTATAGTAATAATAGAACCAGTTGGGCTGAACGTATGCACCACTCTAATTTACCATGAATAAGCGAAATGATTGTTGTATTAGCATAAGTTGAAACTCTTCTACTTGAGCGCTTTGGGCCCGCTTTACGGATATCCCGTCCTGTCGATATCACCATCCGAACATTTTACTGGAAGTTAGTGTGGCGGGAAGAGTCTACTGTAGCGAATTGACTTGACTCAGGCTGAGGAAAGATAAGTTACTTGTTGCTGGCAATGAAAACGAATATTGATGGAAGGTACAGCAACCTTTCCATTACATAATACTTTCCTTACCCCGACATCCAAAAAGACACACATTATGCTTGACATGACATAATAGTTATTTATGCGTGATACCAGTCGGGTCGCCCGGCTCGCGCCGGGCCTCATTCTTTACTTTTACAAAGTAGTTAGAAAGTGTAGTTAGGGGGAGAGGGGCTTTGATTTTATCCAACACTGAAGGCTAGAGTGCAGAAGAGGGTTAGGCGAACTGACCTGTGTTTAGAAACGGTTCTAGGCGAAAGAATATGATCTCAAGCTAAGCCTCAGAAGGGCAGGAGCGGCTGGGTAGGGGTGGGATGATTAGCTCGTGCAAAAAGCTAGGATGAGGTATGAGTTGAATATCCAATTGAGTCACCCACCTCGATACCCCTTCCTCCTTAAGCACCGAGCGAGAAACTGCTTTCGGCTAAGAAACGTTGATGAGCGTGATTATGGGCTAACCTCCTTATGTTGAAATTGTGTCGAAAAAAAGCCTAGATCTCCCAACTATATTATCACCTCCGACTTTTGTAGGGACCTACATAGCACGATGCCGGTACAGATCGAAATAATAGTTTTGAAGTACCCACTTCACTCCACATCACTCACTTCACTACGCAGTACTCACTCTACTCCATCA